CAGAGGGCTTACTGATCATACCTTTCTTTACTATGTAATGCAATTAGAGTATGATGAGGAGAATTGAACTAGTATGAACTAGCCATTGAACTAGTCATTCCATTTAGCTGACTGAGATACATGACTGTGTAAGGTCAGTGAAGATCCACTGGCTTAAATATGTTCATATTCAGTGTGTTCAGTAATAATCTCTCGCTGATGCACTAGCATCCACATAGTTTTGGGCTTGGAGAACTAGAGCTGATGTCAGATGGGTCGATGTCCTGATCTAGGAACTGGGGTCCACAAAGGAGAAGCCCACAGGATTCTGGGCAAAAGGTTTCCAGTCTACTCCTGGTTGTGGTGAGAGGGAGTGTGAAAGCAGAGTCCCAGTACCCAGAAGCGTATACCTGAGCTTGGACAATTAAGAGTTGACCTCAGATGAGGTGACTCCCTGTTCTAGAGGTTGGGGTCCTTGAGGGGGAAGACTGTATGGTTCCAGGTGCAAGGCTTTCCACCAGAAGAACCCACACATTTCAAGAAACATTTCAAGTACTCATTTTTGCTATGCTCTTTGTGTGTAAATTTCATTTATTTTAACTTTTAGAGATGCATGTATTTCTGCAACTCAGACTCACTAGGAAGTTAAATATCATGCTGCTATTTACGGCTTACCAACCTTTCCTCGCCTGCAATCTAACTTAAAATGTGAAGTTGGTAATAAGTAGCAAACAGTGTTTGACATAAAGCATACAACTCAAAAGTTCTTTCACTTTATCATCAAGTCCATATTTTAATTTTGGGGGGGTGTGAATGGGGAACTGTTTTGAAGACACACTATGCTGTATTTAGGGCATACTCCTGGTTCTGTGCTCAGAGATCACTTCTGGTGAGACTCCAGGTACCACTGGGTGCCTGGGGATAAAACCTGCATCAGCAGCATGCAAGGCAAGTGTCATACCCACTGTACTATTCACTCTGGTCCAATGTATTGAGAAATTTAAAAGAACATGATCTACAAAATAAAATAATTTTGTAAGATATAAAATGCATCCATTTAAAAATAATATGAAATAAGGGAAGAATGGAGCAATAGCACAGCGGGTAGGGCGTCTGCCTTGCAAGCGGCCAACATGGCCGACCCGAGTTCGATTCCTCCGCCCCTCTCGGAGAGCCCGGCAAGCTACCGAGAGTATTCGATATGCCAGACACAGTAACAACAAAGTCTCCAATGGAGACGTTACTGGGCTCGAGCAAGGGAAGGTTCAATATTTATAAAGCATCTTTGTTGTCTTGTTTTTAGTAAAAAGGCATATCACCTTTTGAATAACAACTTTATTACAGAAAAGCTTGACTCTTTTGGAACTATTTATTGACTCTGTGTGTGATGGAGAGAAGAAAAGAAAGGAGAAGATGGAGAGTGTCAAACACAAAAACTGAGAGATAAAGGTAAGGAGGAACAGAAAACTGAGAAAAAGGGGAAGGGTACACAGGAAAGAATAAGACTTAACTAGCAATAGAGTTTCTTATTGAATTTTTAATTTTCCTTTCATGATTTCCACCTAGAGGTTCAAAACACTGAGTAGATAACCAAAAATAATTGACTTCAGTAAGTATTTATATAAATAAATTTATGTAAATTTATTTATTCATAAAATAAAGTTTGTTTTGTGTTCTTAGTTACCACAATTGGGGTCATTAGCATCCTTAGATCAATATTTATGTTGAAATAACATCAAGATAAAAAATATAACAGTAATTTTACTAAATATACATCTGACAATCTCCTTTTTGCGTCCAAGGTAATATTAAAATCTCTAGTCCCAACGTATTAGATATGTACTTCTAGTTATTCTCTATAGGTTTTAAAACCAAGATTTTAGTGTTATACATTTTTGTTACACATTTACAAAATCACTCAATAAACATTAGTAAAATAAGGTACCAAAAATTAATGAAATATATAAGAAACAAAGTCATCACCAAAACTTACTGGCATATTGTCATATAATTTTTTAACTGTACCTATATATAGGGCAGGAGCAATAGCACAGCAGGTAGGGCGTTTGTCTTGCACTCGGCTAACTTGGGTTTGATTCCTCCGTCCCTCTTTGAGAGCCTGGTAAGCTACCGAGAGTATTTCATCTGCACAGAAGAGCCTGGCAAGCTCCCCGTGGCATATTCTATATGCCAAAAAGAGTAACAACAAGTCTCACAATGGAGACATTAGTGGGCCCTCTCGAGCAAATCGATGAACAATGGAGGACAGTGCTACAGTGCTACCTATAAATTTTAGCATTTTTAGGCCATGAAATATTTGAGTTTAAGAATCATAAAAACAAAACAAGTGACAACAAAAAACCCTGATACTAAACAGTAGTATCTGTGAAAAGAATCAAATCAGAAGTCAAAAGATATACCTCAGATATCTGGGCAGTTCATATACAAACAAGAAGCTAAATTAATGAAGTATAGGAAGAAAATTGCTAGGGGAAACTAATGCAAAGAAAAAGGAGATTATGAAAACTATCTCGTACCATACACAAAGATAAATTCAAAAGTGGATTAATAAAAATCCTTATTATTAGATGAAAATCCATAAATACGTCAAAGAAACATAGGCAGAGTTCAGCATTTTATTTGTATCTTTGTGGATTTCACATCATTGGCTAAAGTAAATAAAAAGACCACATTACATTAAAAAGGAAATGACTGCTAAATTAAGGACAATCTACTGAATGGGAAAATTATTCACACAGCTTATATCTGACATATAGAATATCAAATGTGCCAAATATGCCAAATACAGTAATGACAATAAGGTCTCATTCCCCTGACCCTGAAAGAGCCTCCAATCATTGGGAAAAGATGAATTAGAAGAGAATGCTAAAATTTCAGGACTTGAAGGAATAGAGGCATTACCGGCACCTGCTTGAGTAAATTGAAGATCACTGGGATGACAGTGATACAGTGATATATTTGACAAAGGATTAATATCCAAGTATAAAATCACCCCTGCAAAGACATACAGATGGTCAACAAACATATGAATCAGTTTGTCATCTTTTTTATTAGGGAAATGAAATTTAAAAGGACAAAATATCACACTTCAATAAAAGTGGCACACCTCCAAAAGTCTAAGCATGATCAGTTCTGAGAGGGAAGTGGTGAAAAATTTATCTCATTTACTGTTTGTGGACTGTTGGTTAGTTCACCTATGAAAAATAGTATGAAGACTAATCAAAAAATGAAAACTGGAACTACCATTGTTAGGGCACGGATCGTGATCTCCCTTTAACGACAAAGAAACTCCAGAGACTGCAAACAGCAAGCAAGGTTTATTGTAAGACTGGCTAGCCAGGGTCAAGCCGCCTACACAGACACGCAGGTCAGTTAGGTGAGGCAAGACCCCGAACCTCTTCAAAGGGGATCTTATATAGGCCTTCACTGGCCGTTACAGCAAAGCCCGCGCATTTCATAGCCAATAGATTTGTAACAACATATGCTTTCTTAACCAATCCATGTAGAAGTACATCACTCCTTAGCCTATAGATTCAAAGATCAGCATTTACGTACATAGGCATTGTGACTAGTGGGCATCAGGTAACTTGGACATTTGGTTATCACCTTGCTTCCTCTGATTCTCAGCCCTGCATTCCAGAGGTGGATAAGGGAATAGTTCTTAAGGGAGGTAACAGATAAGGAGGGCAGGAAAGGGAGAGTTACTAATTTATAGAGTTTTAACTCTGGAATCTCCCTCAGGGTCCCTAGGGACCTAACACCATATGATTCAGTAATTTCTAGGCATAAATCCTAAGAACTAAAATATTAATTTGAGAAGATATTTGCACACCACATAAGTTGAAGTATTACTTTAAAAGGTCAAGCTCTGGAAACAACCGAGTATGCAACAGCAGGCAATTAGAAAAAGAAATTGTATACATACACAACACTATTCAGTTAGAGGGAAAGATAAAATATTGCAATTCACTGTAATCATGCTAAGCAAAGTGATTCAGAAGGAAAATGACAAATACCAGATGCTTGCACTCATTTATGAAGCATAAAGAAAAAAAAAGGGGGGGATAGAGAATGAACAATAAAAATAGTATGTGAGATTTTGCCTATAAAATTTAGTCAGATGAATGGGGGACTCACTGGGGAAATTAGAAAATAGAGTTATATAAGAGAAGGTATCTAAGGCAGTGGGGTAAGGATAATGCACAACGGTGGTGGAAGGAATGATGCAGTAGTGTTATGTATTACATGCCTAAAATATTAAAAATACTGTAACTCATTAATACATCGATAATAAAAAGAAAAAATGATAGAAACCTAAGACAGGTAATTTAATTGGTAGTGAGTTCAAGTGAAATATATATTTTAAATAAACATGAAAAAACATAAAATTTCAGGCTGGAGCAATAGCACAGTGGTTGGATGTTTGCCTTGCGCACAGACAGCCCGGCCGAGCCGGTTTCGATTCCTCCACCCCTCTCGGAACATATCTTGCCCGCCCGGCAAGCTACCCGTGAAGTATTCAATATGCCAAACACAGTAACAAGTCTCACTATGGAGACGTTACTGGGTCTGTTGGAGCAAATCAATGAACAACGGGAGGACAGTGACAGTGACAGATATAAATTAGGTTAAAATATTTAAACCATGTACTCATTTGAAACCAAAATAGATTAAGATATTATCTAATTTTAAATGTAAATTTCAATATGGAATTACATAATATAAAAACTAATCAAGGAGTTATATTAGTTTGCCTTTTTTTTTCCTTTTTAGGAAATGTCTTAAAACAGATTAAACAACAAAAGAGAGTCCAGATTAGTGTTCAGTGAAATAATTTTTTTGATATGTATATATAGAGAGAGACTATGTGTGCATAATAGAATTTTAGAAATGAATGTAAATGTAAATAATCCTAAATTCTAGATAATTAGACAAGATTTAAATGTTTTTATGAAGTAGCATTTTATAAATAAATTACAATTAAAACTTTTTAATCTTACCTGCAAAGGAGATACTCTATGGAGTTTTAGTGCCCCCTTCTGGTGAATTTTAGCAAAGCAGTCTGAACAATAATCTTCACCACATTCAAGGCATATCTTCAAAGATACATTTTTTAAATCAAAAAATTATACAATGATCTTGAAAAAATATTTATATAAAAATTTACTTCATAACATACTTATATACATACCTAAATGTAATAAATGTAAAAAAATTCAAGAAACTAGGACAATCATTTTTCCCTATTAAAACTAATTTATAAACTGTAATTATTTTCCTATTTAAGAAGACAGTGCTTCAAGTAGGCAGTATATGGATTATATATACGTGTATTTTAATAAGTTCAAATTAAGTGATGAAATAACTAGAAACCTCAAATAAAACTACTGAATTGGTAAAAACAAAAGAGCACTAGCTCTAAGCCAAAACTGTTAGATTTCACAAGTTCCTCTATCTCTTGGAATATATTTACGAGGAACAATCAGTTTCAAAATATGTGTATACTCTTTGTCTTCAAAAATCCCCCATAAACTTCCTTGAATGTCACTACTTAACTGAAGAGTCTCAAAATATGTTTATAAGTATCCACAGAAGATTCTTCAAGGAAAAGAAAGTAGATGAAACTATATTACAATGAAACTAAATCAAAAAGAAAGTAGATCAAACTAAATCAAAATGTTTACTACTGTTAAAATAACTATGAAAATGTTTATATTTCTCTTCTAAAGTCTCAATGGAGCTAAACTGCATTTTTTAATTTAGGATAAAAGAATGTGTTCACTCTTATGTGGAATGTGGAGGAACAAAACAAAACACACAGACATCTAAAATTCCCACTGCAGAAATAATCTTGCTAAAGGGTGTCGGGTGGGAGCACGAGCACAGGGTGGGAGGAGTCCAGTGAAGCAATGTAGGTACTTTAGTGGTGAGACTGTTATGAAAATAGACATTTGAAAAGTGTGAACCTGAATCTCTAAAAGCATAATAATGTGATGATGATGCCAAGTAAGACTAGAAAAGAAGAAAATATGGAATTTCTATTTGCAAGTAAAATAGTATGCCATACCACCCCTGAATCATTCTCAAACTATGAAAAAAATTTCAAGTAGCTAAATGGCCCCTCATTTTCTTTTGTTTGACCTATCTTGAAGTGACCAGTAGCACAAATAAGCATGTGGACTTGGAGAGACAGTATGAACATTTCTCCCAGCATGCTCTCGTTTCTTCTTTTAGATACATAAAACCCACCATAGCCATCCACTCTTTCTCTTCCCTATCAGTGAAAATAAGCGAAACACAGTGAGGCCCTTGAGAGGAGGTTAACCATGATCTTCTAACTTGTACTGACTAATGGTACACTTAATTGTACACACAATGAGGCTTCTCAACCTGCAGTGATGGACTCTATTTCAGGAGATCTAGAATAAAACTTGACATGCTGCAATCACTCAGGTGATACCAGTGTACAACACACATTGAAAGACAAAGCACTAGTATAGAACGTAGAAAATGCATAGCATGTATAAATGTATAGAATGTAGAAAAGTAAAATAACTTATTTTACACAAGACTTTCATGTATTTTAAAAATTAATTATCGGTGGTATTTCTAGCACCCATTTAATAACATAGTTACTTAAAATATTGTGATCAGGTTTATTAAATTTAAAATGATTAAGAGAATACTTAGGGTCAGAGAGAGTACAACCCCAGTTCAGTCACTGGTACTACATATAGTCCCAGCACATGATCAAGAGTCATTGCTGAGCACACAGCCAGCAGTAAGCCCTAAGGACAACTCAGTATGGCCTAGAAAACAACGCACACATACAGACACACACACACACACACACACACACACACACAAATAAATAAATAAATAAAAATAAAAGTGAAAAAGACTCAAAATTTGATTAAAAGAACACAAACTTTTTTAAAACTTATTTTATTGAATCACTCTATGGTATACCCTTACAAAGTTGTTATTGATTGGAATTCAGTGCTACAGTATTCCAACACCCATCCATCCACCAGGGTACATTTCCCAGCACCAGTGTCTCCCATCACCCCTCACCCCCCATGCCCTGCCTGCCTCTATGCAGGAGCTTCTTTCCTCCCTCCATCCTGCCCTCCCTCCCTCCCTCAACTCTCTCTCCCTCTCCCTCTCTTTCTCTCCTTCTCCATCTCTCTCTCCCTTTCTTTCTCCCTCTCCCTTTCTATCTCTTCTCTCTCTCTCTCGTATAAACTTTTATATGACTAATGTGAACATTTTCGAAAGGACTATATTCAAATAACAAAAACAGCAGCAGATGTATTACAGGGATTAAGATGCTTGCCTTGCACCAAGTCAGCCTCAGCTCAGACATCACTTATGGTCCCCAGAGTACATATTGGACGTGATTCATGAGTACCAAGCCAAAAGTTAAGCCCCAGTCACCACCAGATGTGATTTAAATATCCCCCACCAAAATCAAAATTAATAACATTAACAATAACTACAATGTTTAGTGGGCACACACATACTTCTAAGGGCTTCACAAATTGTATTTCATTTCATCCTCACAGCAACTCTTCAGGGTGAGAGTGACTGTTCTACCTCTACAGTATGCCAACACCCGTCCTTCCACCAGAGTACATTTCCCAGCACCAGTGTCTCCCATCACCCCCCACCCCCCATGCCCTGCCTGCCTCTATGCAGGAGCTTCTTTCCAGTTTTCATCTCACCCTCCCTCCCTCTACTCTCTCTCCCTCTCCCTATCTTTCTGTCCCTCTCCCTCTTTCCTTATGTGAACATAAGGTAAGAAAACAACACAGTGATTAAGAGCACATTCAGTTGTACAGTTAACGGTGCTTGCTAATGACTCATATTACTCATCTCTAATACATCACTAACCATTAATTGCAGAACTAATAATTTAAAGAATCTTAATAAAATCTAGAATAAAATAAAAAACAGTATCCTATATGACTGCTGCTTTATGATTTGGTGACTATCAAAGTCAAAATCTGTTTTATGTAATTAGTAATACACAGTGTTTTAAATATTTTTGAAACAATTTATTTCTAGGTACTGTAATCTAATAAAAATTTAATAGTTTGAATCTAATAAAAAGTATGTTACTCATACTTTTCTTGGATGTTTTTAATTCAAGCAGGACAAAATAAACATTACACCTTGTATGGAATTAGTCCTATCTGCTCACCTCTTGTTCAAAAACACCAGTCTCTTAGAAAAATGATAATACAAACATCTAAATACATAATATATACATAAAGATAAAAGTCTATTGTGTTACATACATATATGATACATTATACTCATAAATATATGTCAATATTTGTTAGCAAATTTTAAAGGAAGTAACCAACTATTACAGCAGGTCAAATCTGGAATTGCAGATTTGCAAAATATATATATATATTTTTTTGTACAAGTATGTTTGGGCTTAAATATGTTAAAATGACTGCCAACTGGAAAATCATTTTAGGCTGTTTGGGTAACTGGCAGGGACATAGTAAACTGTAGATAAGGACTCTATTCCACCAGGGAAGTTTCTGCAGTGATGAAATAGCCATAAGTAGTGTAGCTAACATATTTTTTTAAACCAACATCTTTTTAATTATATGAAGGCTATAATAATTGTGCTAAGCTTTTAAAATAAACTTGATTTTAATTAAATTATTCACATTTTCCAAATTAAATGTTTTACTACTATTTATGTCAGTTTTGCATGTAGATAACCCAAATCTATTCTAATTTAATTTTAAAAATAAGAAATGTGGAAGTTTTGTAGTTTATTTTTGCCAAAAAATGTACAAAAATGTAGAAAAACATTAAAAAAAACTGTGAAGAGCAAATACCCATAACCATTATCTGCTCTCAAGATGCTAGGGAAAGTGCTTAGTATTTCATATGCTTTAAATCATTATCCTCAATGACTCAGAGATATAGACTAAATGCTATGTACTTTGTCTAACTGGGCCATGTATCCCATTGTAAATGGTTAGACAAAAAAAATAAGGTAACTAAGTCACCTGCTAGAGGCGACACAGATTTTTAGTTACATTTGAAATTTAAAGTCTCAAATGCCAGCTCTGAATACCTGTTCCCCTATATACAATTTTCCCTATTAATTTCTATTATAGGACTAAAAAAAGTTTATTCTAAATATGACAAATCTTGCTCTCAGGAATGACAGAAACTAATTATACAGGGGTTGAAAAGATACTTGGTTATCGTGTGGATATGGTCGATGGTGCTGAATCCTTTGCGGAACCCGGCTTGCTCGCATGGTTGTCCTTCATCTAGTGTTCTGCCAATCCTATTTAGGATGACTCGAGTGAACAACTTGTAGATGACAGACAATAGGCAGATCGGGCGATAGTTGCCAATGTCATGGATGTCTCCCTTCTTGAACAGTAGTACGGTCCTGCTGGTTTTCCATTGGGACGGAACCTTGCATTCAGACAGGTAGCGAGTGAAGAGCCAAGCCAGTGTATTGATGAGTACTGACAGCAGGTTCTTCAGGTGTTCAGGTCTGACCTTGTCTGGGCCGGGTGCTGTTTGTTTCTTTACCAACGAAATGGTGTGTCGGATTTCGGAAGGGAGAACATTGGGAACGACATATCCATCCTGTGGAATTTGGTATGTCGGCAAGTGGACATGGCTATCGAAGAGATTTGAGTAGAAGTCATGGATAATCTTCTCCATTGCCGTTCTGGAGGATGTGATGGATCCATCAGGACGTCGGAGGGCAGTCATCTTGGTCTTATAGTTGGCGAAGGACAGGCGGGCGTTACGAATACTTTTCCCGGCTTCTGCCGCATCTACCAGTACTTCTGGTCTTCTCTCTTTGAGGTCTTCCTTGATCACATCTCTGCACTGCTTTGTGAGCTCGGACGTTAGCTTGCAGTTGCCTGAGGCATGCGCCAAACCACGCTGGCGAATTAGCTCAAGAGTTTTCGAAGATAGGCGACTTTTTGTGGCTATCTCTCTCTTGGCGTTCCTCGCACATTCATGGAGGTGCTGAACCAGTCGATTGTATTCCTCGTCAATGTTGTCAACAATGGCATCTTCCCATGTTGCCGCAAAAGTA